CTTTCCCTTTTTTATTGCCCTTTCCTTTTAAAATTCCTTTTAAAATTCCTTTTAAAATTCATGGGTTGGCGGTCCCCAACTCCCGGGCCGTGAACTACTACTGGTCTGTGGCCTGTTAGAAGCCGGGCTGCACAGCAGGAGGTGAGCGGTGGGCAGGCGAGGGAAGTTTCATTTGCAGACACTCCCAGGCGCTAGCATCACTGCCTTAGCTCCACCTCAGATTATCAGGCATTAGATTCTCATAGGAGCACAGGTCCCTGGTGCCAAAAAGGTTGGGGACCACTGCCATGGGAAAAGAATGTAGAAATAAGTATAAAGTCATAGATAGTAAAGTCAGGGACTGCTTTGGAGATGCAGTTATCCTGCCCTTTTTCCTCTCTTGTGTGTGCACATACCTTCATAGCTGATAAAATAGTGTTCAGAGAGAACATAAGACTTGTATGTGATCATAAAATTTAATTAGTAGCAGAACCAGTACCAGAGTCTAAGAGGCTTGGCTCTATCTTGGTGTTTTTTGGTATCCCATACTTGTTACCAGAGTTGAGACTTCGGTGGTTAGTGTAGATGTGTCTTAAAAGCCTTTTTCGTGTGTGTGCATGTGTGCCTATTCAGCAACTTTTTCTTTTTTTCTTTTTGAAGATGATATCTTTTCCTCTGGTGTCCAAGCTAAGACAACGAAACCAAAAAGCCGATCTTCACAGGCAGCACGTGAACCAAGATCTGAACAGAAGGTTGCCAACATATTTGATGATCCTCTGAATGCCTTTGCAGGCCAGTAGAGCCTACAGGGTATCACATCTCAGTCTCTAGCTACATCCTTGAGTTAATGATACTGTCTTATATGCTCATTATCCTAACTGAATTATAAAAAGCAAATACTGAAACAGCATGCTCACCTCTTACCAAATGCACCTAATCATGCTTAAAACAGCAAGGCAAAAATAAACATTTCACAGTATTTTGTTTTGTTTTTTGAAACTCTATTTTGATTTAATTCATCTTGCTAGAGCCACAGTATGATTTAGAGCTTATTAGAGAAGAAACCTGTTGATGCATATCATGGGTAGGCAAGGAATCCTAGAGGTAGCAAGTGCCAGATAGACGACCAGGGGTCTTCCTTACATGGACGGGAGCCCTGTCTTCATCACAGTCTGGGTAGGTGATAGAGGAAGAGGATGAGAGATTATCTACTTCATGAGTCTTTGCAATAGGAGAGAAGCTTTCTCTGATACCACTGAATTCTGAAAATGCCCCTTCAGACCCACTAAGGCAAAGTTTGACAAACTATGGCCCTCCCTCTGGTCTTTTTTTTTTTTTTATTTTAATAAAGTTTTATTGGAACACAACCATACCTATTTTAATATTATCTGTGGCTATTTTCATCCTACATATAATACGAGAGTTAAGTAGTTGTGACAGCGACTGGATGGCCCATAAAGCCTAAGTTATTTTCTTTACAGAAAGTTTGCTGATCCTTGCTCTAAGGCATTCATTTCCATTCCTTGGATCTTTGCATTATTTTGTGAAAGAGGTGGAATGAACCCAGTGGTAGGGAGAAGATGGAAATGTCAGCCTCTAGAACAGCACTGTTCCTTAGAGCTTTGCACTTATGGAAATGTTCTGTAACTGTTGTCCAATGTGGTATCCACTAGCCACATGGATGGCTGACCCTCCTTCTAGTCTATTTTCCTGTGCTGTGCCATGCCATCTCAGTGCTGAGTAGTCAATCTGTAACCATGGCACAATCTTGTAGGTAGGCCTGTTTGGCTTCACCAATCCTGAAGCCACTACTTCCTTGGACACTTTTAAGATCAAACTGGGAACTGCTCGTATTCAGAGATTTTGTACAGCTCCCACAGACCAGCTGTTTACCCTGCTCTGCTTTGAGAGTGACCCTACACAGGAGACGGTGCATACTAGTTGCCTGCCCTTTTCCCTGTCCCTTTTGTGCATCTACCTTCTCTCCCTTAGTTTTCATAGGTATA